CGCGCATCTAGTTTTTTTTTCTTCGGCGAAGCCCCACAACCGCCCCACAACCGTCGTCCACCACTGCCCCCATCCTAAACCCTAAGATAGATAATGGGGTAGCCCTCCGGCGAGCCCCTTCCTTCTCCTTCCTTCCCTCTGGCTCACTCCGGCAAAATCTTAAAATTGATTGACCCCAAATTTGAAATTCAATCGACTGACGTTTAGCTAATGTGACTTGTCTAATATTCTAACGATAAGATGGATATTGCTAAACCCTCAAGATTATTGCCAATGAAGTTGTTCATCAATCTTTTGAGTACTCCCTCAGCGACAATTAATATGGATCAGAAGGAGTAATAAATTTATGCTTGAAAATCACGCCTAAGAAAACTCAGTCACTTAATGTAAGATTTCAAAGAATGGTCCAAATACCATATACACTAAAAAATAATGTCAAGTCTATGGGCTACGTGCTTCAATTTATTCATGGATTTTGTTTTCATTGTGGCTGCTTTGATGTAGATTTTGGCCTAAAGTTACTTGGTTTCCGAACATGGTATTAAAATCTTGAGTTTACGGTTCCCCAAAGTTACTTCACTGCCATAGTGTTTCCTGCCCATGTATCGACCCTGAATTTTGGTATCTGCTTATGCCTTGTTCCATAACAAGACAATAGGAACTATGTGTGCCGAAAACAAGTCAGTTTTGACCTATATAGCCAAAAGATAGTTAGGGAAAATAAGGTGATATATTAGCAATGTCGAATAATTGTTGAGTTGGAAGAGAAAGACCCCCCCCCCTCCCCCCTCTTTTCTTAGCTATAAGAGATGATATCAAAGATGTGGCATCTCTGTCCATTGTATGGGATGTCATGTCTAAGATCTCCCAGTGTGGTATATAGTGTAATGTCATGCAGCTTCATGCAATGACAACTAGGCCCATCACTGACAAAACATAGTGTTAAATGAAAAAAAAGGTATTGGTATCATAGCATGATACCATATCATAGTAAATGAGATGCTATTATGAGTCATACAAAATAATTACTTAGGTCATTTTAATTTTCAGACTATGATATTATGCACTATGGATTAACTATGTTACTAAATGCGAGAGGCTGACTTTAGGAATATGCAAACACTAATTACTAGATATAAAGATAACATATCTTTTAGCTTCTCTAAATGACGTGGAATGCATGAGAAAATGGTTTCTTATCAACCATTGTGCATTCCCTTCGACATATGGCTTCATCAATATATCTTGAAAACATATAGCTAAAGGATACATAAATGTGTCTTTCTTAATATATCTTAAAGGGGCTCGACTACAACCGTCGGTAGGGCCTTTTTTACGTTGTACCTGGTATATCTAATGGATTTCATCTGTATATCTTGAAGCTACATGACTCCACTCATTGATCAGCGTTGTATCAGTGTGTGTGTGCATCTATGTTGTACTCTGTGTTTAAAAAAAAAGAGGTAATAACACCGGTGGTGTTTAAACTTGCCACGGATGTTCACTTTAGTGCTTGAATTTGAAAAATAATTCAAACTAGTTCTAAAACTTGACGCATACGTGCAAATACGGTGCTAAGCTTATTTGTAGATGTAAAATGTGATGACGTGGCACCGTATTTGGCTGACGTGGCACTTGTAGCGACCAAACATGATTTTAGTAAAATACTTATGTCTCTATGACTAGTGGGGCCCGTTTTGTCAGTACACAAGAAAACTGAAACGAAAAACGTTACCCAATAGGGTTCGGACCAGAGAACTGGACAATGTGGTCGAGCTTACCCTAGCCACTCCATCGGAATTTTTTTTAGGCAAGCCACTCCATCGGATAGCGTCATGTTTTGAGGGAAATAACCTTTATTCATTCAAAGACCACATTCAGTGGGATACAAGTTACGTCATGAGGCTGGCCAAGCCAAACATGACGACCAAAAGCTAACCTTAAAGCAAATCTAGCTAACTTATGAGCTTCTAAATTAACATGACGACCCTCAAAAGAGAAATTACATTGGAACGGTAATGATCTGGACTTAATTTCAGAGATGATCGAACCATAGGAGCCCTTGTGTCCTCTTATTATGTAACCTGCTTGCAATCTGAAGCAACCACCATTTGCTGAATATGAAGATCTTCCGCTAGGGCAATAGCCTCCCGGCATGCAATAGCCTCTAGTGTCGCTGGGTCCCAAATCCCGTCAATGACCAAAGCTGAGCTCCCCAAGAAAACACCATTGCTGTCCCTGCAAATAGCTACCGCCGTTCCCCCTCTATGTGTTCGTACAGCTGCATCGACATGGATCTTGGCATAATTTGCTGGAGGTGCCTTCGGTCACGTGCAAACACTGGCCCCTCATTTATAATGTAGGCGTGATACTTAAATAGGCTGTAGTCAGTGCGGCCCATTTATCACAGTTTACTTTTTTTACAAAAATCTGCAATTATAATTACACTGATACACATGCTACCACTCTGCATTTTGCACACGTTAACATCTGTAGATTATAATAATATAATAAAGTTAGATTCAAATATTTAGATGGTATTAATAGTTACCTCGTGGTATACAAATATTCGTGTGCGTGTATTATTTTAAAATTTTATAAACCAGCCCCCCATGCCATGCCGTGTGTTATAAATATTTGTGGTACATAATTAATAACCTCATGGTACACAAATATTCAGGTGCACACAAAATAAATATATAGATGTATGCAATAAAATAACTTACTAAAAATGTTCATGTAATTTAAAGAAATTTTAACCTATTATTTAGAAAATACTATTTTAGATATAATGGATACAAAATTTTTGTACATGCATGGCTTATATTTAATTTATAGAATTTATGGATAACAACATTTACAAAATAATTACGAATATTCACTGGTGTATTAATTTCTCTCATGACTTATATTCTTAGTTTTTGCTTAATGTAAATATAATTCGTGAGTTAATTTTCATATGTACATTTTAATTTTATAATTTAATAATACATGCACAGTCTATCACCATTTTGCACGTTTTGCGCCCATACGCTTGTGTTCGCAGATTCGCCCATTCGCTTGTGTTCGCAGATTCGAAGCCTGTCTGTCACCATTTTTCATTTCTGTTTTCTTGTGTACTGACAGAAAGGGCCCATTTGTCAAAGAAGCATAGTATTCAACTAAAATCCACGTCAGCCACATACGGCGCCATCAGCATACTTTATGTCTACGAATGAGATTAGCACCGTATTTGTATGTTCATGCCAAGTTTTAGCATCAACTTAATGTATTTTTTAAGTTTAGACACTAAAGTAAACATCAGTGACAAGTTCAAGCACCATTGGTATTATTACCTAAAAGAAATAAGATGATGAACACAAAGGTACGACTTTGTCAATATATCTTGAAGCTATGCGGTTCCATTCTTTAGTACGCGTTGTGTGGGTGTGTTCATGGGCACCGGACAGTGCTTGCAATTGCAACACGGAGCACGTGGTAGCCGCTGCATCACACAAACGCTGCACTGCAACAGTGAAATCCTGTCAGTAAATAAGCCTGGACATGCTTACTTTATTGATAGATATGTAGATATAGATTGAATGACCGGATTTTATTGTATTTATTTAATGGAACTACCTAAAGGGCACTAAACAGTGGTTGCAGCACGGCGTGGTAGCTGGAATTTCCTGGTAGCTGCTAAAGAGTGAGGTCTTGTCAATAAAACGTCCACCGAAAGCTGCTAAAGAGTCACAAGCAAACCACATCGATCGATCCAGCGCTAGACAGAGGGAGAGGATGGCAGTCGACAGCATGCACGTCGTGATGTTCCCCTTCCTCGCCTTCGGCCACATCAGCCCGTTCGTGCAGCTGGCGCGCAAGCTCGTCGCCGCCGGCGGGGTGCGTGTCACGCTGCTGTCGGCCGCGGCCAACGTGCCCCGCGTCGAGGCCATGCTGGGGCCGGCGGCCGGCGCGGTGGCGGTGGCCCCGCTGCGCCTCCAGCGCGTGCCGGGGCTCCCCGAGGGCGCCGAGAGCACGGCCGAGGTCTCGGCGGACGGCGCCGAGCTGCTCAAGGTCGCCGTCGACGGCACCAGGCCGCAGGTGGCGGCCCTGCTCGCGGAGCTCCGTCCTGACGCCCTGCTGTTCGACTTCGCCACCCCGTGGGTCACCGAGCTCGCGGCGCCGCTCCGCATCAAGGCGCTCCAGTTCTCGGTCTTCTCCGCCGTGTCCGGCGCCTACCTGATGAACCCCGCCCGCCGCCTCGGCGCCGGCGGCCAGCTGCCAACCGCGGACGACCTCACGTCGCCGCCCGCAGGCTTCCCACCGTCGTCGAGCATCACCACCGTGCCGGCCTACCAGGCCGCCGACTTCAGCTACGTGTTCACCAGCTTCCACGGCGAGCCGTGCGTGTACGACCGCGTCCTCGCCGGCGTCCAGGCCAGTGACGCCCTCGTCATCAAGACGTGCTTCGAGATGGAAG